GGTGGAAGGAACAGCAAAGGACTCTTTGGTCTCTCCATATGCCATCTGGGTGTCCTTTTTCACAACACCGTGTTCTGAGCCCATGTACTTGACTCACTTTCCTGTTGCTCCTGCCTCGATCAGTCCTTCTTCTCTCCTCCCCACTTCTCTGCCGGGAAGCCCCTCCTTCCTCCAGTCTCTTCCAAAGGTCATACCTCTGGAGAAGAGCCAAGGTTATGTTTTCTGCAGCTGTTGGAATCCAAGCCGGGGTTTGTCCTGGTCGAAAGTCCAAGGTCCTTGTCCAAGGTCATTTATCTGCTGATGACCTTGGAAGGCAAACCTCTAGGATCACATGGCCCCTCAGATACTGGCATGGAGCTATAAGATTGCTCTCCAGCTGCATCATCTCACCCACCAAGATGTAGGCTTGGTTTTAGTCTCAGTTTGTGCCCAATCAGCAGTGCTAGATCAGGCCAATTGGCTGCTTCATTTGGGATGGGGGGGTGTAGACTCTTCAGATCAAGGTACAGAGTACAAAGATGGACAGAAAAGCTTGTAAAAGCTTCTTCTGGAGAGGAAAAAATGCAGCAATAAAAAGTTACGTCTCTAACCATGTATCAGCTACCTGAGGAGGCCACCTTGGCTTCTCTAATGAGAGACCCAGACTTGCTCACAAACAGAAAGGAGCCCTGAACTATCCTTCTTTGTAATTCTGGAAATTTATTTGTTTAGGTATATATTGGTTTCCCATCACTATAGAAGATGCTTCGCATCTGTAGCTTGATATCCCTGTAGAACACTGCTGAGACATAAAAAAGAAGTTTTGCACGGAGGTAGTTTTAACATGCTATATTTTCAAGAGACAGAGGCCCCTATGAAAACCCTGAGACAAATATTCTTTTAGAAATGAAAAAGAGGTGATAGATAGCATCCTTCCTCCCACTCTAATCAGTTAGCATATACAGCCCATAGCACAAATTCTCTACCGGGCCAGATTTTGGTAGCTAGTGCAAATTGATGGTGCAGCACAGAATATCCTCAATTTGATTCGAAACCCAAATAGTGTGTCCAAGGTTTCAGTCACTAAATCAATAAGTAATCACTTGTTTGGGCTTTGCAAAAATCCCACATAGCCCTGGAAAACTTTTCAGGGCAACTATAACTAAAATATATATCTACATTGCTGTGAAGTTTGGAAAAGGAATCCAAACTTCTGGCTTTGTTCTATGACTGTGATATAAGAATTGTGGCTATAATTATATGCACATCATACTAGACTTTATATGCCATGGAGTTCAGTAGACATTGGTTGCTTTATTGGCCCCAGAGAAGGAAATGGAAAGCAACTAAGACAATATCAACCCTTGGTGACATACCAAAACTTCCATGGCCATGCATTCACCTGAATGTATCTCCCCCAGAAAAGTCAACTTCCATTACTTTGTAATCCCATACGATATTCACCTGCCTTCATTCCACTGGGCTGGTAGTGAAGTCATTATTGTTATACTTCCTCCCTTTTAGTAGTTTTCTTGCTCCAACTTCTAAGAATCCGAGGAAGAATTCTTGGCCCAGTTTTTTGTGAGGGTGGCCCATAAATGTTGCTGTCCCCAGATTGTGTGCAGCAGATTGCAAGAGCTTTGCAAGAGGTTGATGTCATTCTGCAAGTGGGGTCATTTTGACACTTGCAGTGCGCTTCGGTTTCCATGGTGCATTCTAGATTATTTCTACTTCTCTGAAAGGAAGTGAGAGGGAGAATCAGAGCATACTGTGCTTAGCTGGGACACATTCAGAGGAAGGAGCACTCATCTCCTTGGACTTTATTCTATATTGTAAGCCATCCCGAGATGCCGAGGCATGAGGGAACGGCATCTAAAAGTTTTAAATAAATAAATATTCCCATGTGCTCAAGTTAATTGGAGTAAGACCTAAAGGATACAAACTAGTGATGCCGTTTGGAACTGTGAAATTAGCTGCGGTCACTGTCATCATCACTATCCAACCCTTTGGAGTCCTCTGAGGGAGCTTCACTCCTTCTCCCAAACCACAAATTCATTGGTGTTTTTCTAGAATTAGCATCATTCATCCCCCCCACCCCCCATGACCAATTCTAAAAAGTTGAAAAGCCTTTCCTAAGGTTCAATTTCTGGCAGTCAGAGCTGTAAGCTAAATATGATGGTATCTTAGGTGCTTTATCCCAGGTCCCTTTTTGCCTTCATGCCCATCCATCATTGGAATGCAGCCTCAAGAACGTCTACAGAGTGGTAGGAGATTGGAACCCCTCCTGTTGCCAATATTCTGCTCAGCACATGGATGCTGAAGATGGGAATTGGTATGGGAACTGGGGTCAGGCCAGTGAGTACAATCCTGCTTTCTCCTACAGTGTTACCTATCCTGGGTGCTCCTGGGATGCTGAGGAAAGTGCATTTCTTTAATAGCCTTTACTGATGACCCTAAGACTCATAATATGAAGTCAAAACATTTTATTGCATGTGACTAATTAGCCATGCCCAACAGCATAACTTAATACCTCATATCATCACAAATATAAAACCTTAGTCAGGTTAGAAGATCCCCAGCGCTATCAAGTGCAGTACCATTCAGAGAGGGAGCATTGATGTTTCATGGCCTTTCTCAACAAGGCTGTTTTAAATGTAACAGAAGGATTTCAATTTGAATTTGCCAGTAACCAGAAAATCCTCATAGAGAAGCCTTTAGCCTGCAAGGATACCCACAGGTGTTCCACTGGGAGGCTTGGGATGGCAAATTCAGGACTATGTCCCTTCTCTAAACCCCGTATACAGTATGCCTAAGCTTCCAACATCTGGGCAGAACTTCAAATGCTGCTCTCCAGAGGTTCCTTGTCCACAAGCAGGCCCATAAAACTGTCATGTTTGATGGTTGGGCATGGGTAGATGACCTTGCTCTGCCCAACTTTAGTGTAAAGACAAGTACCATAAGATACGTTGCCCGTCACCACTTAGCACCTGGACATTAGGTGGGTACACAGGTCACCTGGCTGCAGCTGTCCACACTATAGCAAAAGTTAGTGTGTTTCTATTTAAATTGTAACACTTATTTCTAAATTTGCATCTCACTGTCTCTATAAATCAGCCCATGTGAATGGTATGCAAGATTATTTTGTCCTTTTCTTTGGTGATCACCACTGGGGAGTGTTTGACCATCCTTGGTCCTATGACCAATGCAATGGCATTCATCTTTAACACTGAAAGGGAGTCACTCTTCCCTTCACTGGTGAAAAATTGGTCTCATTATGAATGTGAGAGCAGGCAATAATTTAGGACGAGTCTAACTCTTACTGCATTTCGGTGTATATTCCCCATTGCAAAGAAGATTGGGTGCTCTGCCAAATGTGAAGAGAACTTTTTTTCTTGTTATTGGATGGACAAAAAGTGCAACAAATAAAAATACATAAAAATCACGAACCATTAGCTGAGTGTTATCTAAAGAGCTCCAGTGCTTGAGAAGCAGCAACCTGATCCTTTGCAACCACAGATGAGAGTTTCTGGAAAGGACACGGCTAGGTCCTGTATATCACCTCTCCTCACACCACGTACTTTTCACTGGAGGCCGTTTGCACATTCAGCTTCAGGTTTTCGCACTATTAGCCATCAAGTGATCTGTTACGGAGTGATATGTGTGTGAGACAGAGAACGGGCTCTAAGCTTTCTGAATCAGGATGTTTATGAGCATGAGAATCTGGATTTGCTTACACTCTGGAATACATCAGAAGCAAAGGAGCACGAGAGCTAAGTGCAGGGAAATTAGGTGCTCAAGGTAGATTTGCTCAGTTACATACGTGTTTTGGGGAGAGAATATGATACAGTGCAACAGCAAGTGTTCTGTCTTCATCACCATTGCACTTGTGGCGACCTAATTCTCTTATTCCAGTGCCAAGCATGAAGCGCTTGGTCTGAGCTTTTGGGGGCCACTCCAGTGTAAGGCAGCCAAGAATCGTTGTGTCTTACTTGGTGTACATTGGAAAAGGGCCGTAGCTCAGTATGTGGAAGGTTCCACATTCAGTCTGCAGCATCAGCAGCAGGGCTGGACGTTCTCCTGCCATTCCTACTCTACGTAGACAATACTGGACACAGTGGTCTGACGGTCTTTAAGCCAGCCTCCTGCTTATTCTGGCCTGTTTCTGGGTGCTCTCTGTTCTTCGTAGCTGCAGTGTTTCCAAGGGAAGGAAGGTACTTGCCCAAATGTTGGGATGCCACCCTGATTTACAGCAATGCTGCTATCATGAACTAGAGTAGCAAATGGAGAAAGAACATAACCTGGCAATAGGCTGAATATTCTAAGGGTAGAAGCAGCAGGACTTGGCAGGGGACTTTGTGTGGAAAGGAAGAGAGTGGGGGACGGAACCCGAACAAAGCTTACAGCTGAATTCCTGATCAACAGGATGGATGGGGACTCGGTTGGTAGTACTCAGTCTTGGGCATATTGTAACATGAAACCTTGGCTTATGCTAACCATAGTTAAGAACCCACACCATGGTTTGAACCTTCCAAAGGTTAAACAGGCAAGCTGTGGTTTTGAGCAGCTTGTCTTTTTTGTTTCCTTTTGTTCAGAACTGCGTCATAAGTCCCAATTTTCTTGGTGGAACAGCCTCTCAAGAAACAGCAGTGGGCCTAACTTTAGTATTGTGGTTTGTCAATGACCTTTGAATAAAGAGGTACCGGCAAACTGTAGTTAGCACAAATGCTGGTTTGTAAGCTGAGGTTTCAGATCTTGGCTGGATGGCCCCAAACAAACCATGTGCTATGGACAGGCTGAGGTTCAGACATTAAAACAAATTCCCATGTCATAGCTGAACCTAACACACACTTGACATGATGACAAAACCTCTAAGTGAAATATCACAGAGGCACTGAGAAATGCGGAACTGGAGGGAGGGAGGGAGTGGGAATTTCTAGAGCAGAGAGACAGAACTAGGTGTCAGCAGCCTAAAGGTGACGTTGCTGTTTGATGAAGGTTCTGGTGGACTGTGTGTAGATAGTGAATAATGGAGAGTGGAGCATGGAACTGAGTAGAAAGAGAGCAAGCAGTGGGTGGGAGTATCTCTCCCATAGAAATGTTGGGTGAGTGAATAGAAAGATCAGACTAGGAGCAGATAAGGACCTGGGGCATGAATGGAGTCAAGCAAGAGGGGCTGTTCAGCTGTATGAGGACAGAGTAGAGACCTTTGAACTGCTCATCCAGAACAGCAGAAGACCTTTTCCATGGTGGGGAGAATGGCAGAAGGAGCTGCAGTGTGTCTGAGTCCTATTCACTCCTGAGCCTCATCCTGCCCGCTTGTTGGTAGACATAGATAAGAAGTCTGCTAATAGGGTTGTTATTTGCAAGTAGGACTGAGCTATTCATCCCTGCTTACTTGTGTGTAGATATTCAGAGTCTTGGTATTGGAGATGCAGCTTGAAAGTACTGCTGTGTGATTTGGTTTTGTTTACATCTGAGTAGAACACAAAGAGGTTTCCTGCTAGCTTCTGAATATGCTTTACATGAATAAGAAGCCTATTGTGGCCACAGACACTCTCCCTTGGGCCTTGCCTGCTCCCATTTTGGCCAAACTCGCAGACAAAATGTGGTCCGAGCACCACTGTTTCCAGATTGGAGCCCAGTCTTCAATCCCAATCTTCTTGAAATGAAGAAAACTGCTAGGCCCTTATGTGAGGAGCCAGATGAGTAGCTGGAGAAAACAAACATTGAATATAAGCATCACAATCCACAATTTTGAGGGAAATGATAGAAGGAAACTTGATTGGTACATATTGGCACAGGAGGGTCTGGTGTTGCCATTGTTTTTTAATGTGGGATGTTTGACATTAGAAGAAACCCATGAAAGAAAAAGCCAATGGAGATGCAGAGGTTTGTGTCATGATGAAGACCTGTATCGCTGAGGGAAATAGCAGCTAAGAGATTGGAAAAGAGAGGGCCAAGGCTTAGAGAATTTGGGTTAGAGACTTCACCTTGATGGGAGGGAGAACAAAAGCAAGGTAGGAGTAGAGAGAGTTGAAAGAAGAGGGGAATAGCAAGGTACCATGTGGAGAGGTCATAGAAATAGTTTCAGTTTTGTCATTGACAAAAGAAGAAAAGCTTGGTGTGGGAGCAGGGAGAGAAAGGAAGCAAAAGGTGACTGAGGGATGTGGAACGGCATCACAGGCACAGAAAGATACCTCGGTCTGTTTGGGAATCACTCTGCCCATGTTGAAACACCGGAGAAGGATGTGTTTGCTCCCCTGGTGCCCTCTGAAGACCTCCATACTGAATGTGTATAAGTGCCTCTTAGGACTTCCTGTCCTATATGAGGAAGCCTGACAAAGTGGAACCAGTAGGGAAAGGTGGAGATGGCAGCACTGGGGTGGGATAAGCTTGTGCATGCATCTTATTATAATTGTTATTATTTATTTTATTTGGCTGAGACTCCTGGGATGATTCGCAGCAATCCAGGTTTCTTAGAGCCCTTCCATGGGACCCTTGCACAGATGGAGCCTGAATTCTAAGGTGGGTTATGGAGGGTCCTGAGAGCTGATGTTGATCAGGGAGATGTGGCATCACAGCTTAAGAATTGCCTGAACTTCTCTTGGGTCAGAAAGTGCCAGACTTTAGGAAATCTATATATAAACCCTGAGTTAACACAGACTGCATTGAATTAATCTGTTCAAAATTAATATTCCTGACCTTTCTAGTAGACAGAATAATCAATATTACTATCAATCCATCAATCGTTGGAATAAGCTCCTACCACCATGGTGGTCATTTCACTTCTGTCGTTCCATAATTTCCAACGTGAGGCTTTTCCTCTGGACCCCTGATTTTTCAGCATCCCTTGGCTCACGTATCCACACACACAAATAGATTTATTTTTCACCTCTTGGTCTATATTACAGATGTATATTACAGTTTGTTATTAGAAAACCTTGCAGTTGTCTGTATAGCTGGAAACATTAGTGCTTGGGAGGGCAAGCATACTGTGCAGGTATAAAGTGCTAGATATCAATGTCTAAGTTGCTAAACCCACACAGGACAGAAGGGGATGAAGTCTCTCCTCCAGCAGGTATACCAAGGCCACACTATTCTGTCCCTATGTCTGTAGGTCTTGTCAGGTGCTAAGAGTTAAGAATGAATGAAACTGTCCATTTCCATTTCATTCTGGTTCTCGTTCTGTTTTCAGTTTTATTCATTTATTTACAACACTTCTATACACATCTATATATATGTATAGGGTTAGGGTTATGTATAGGTATATACAGATCTATATATATGTGGCCCCTTCTCTCCTGTTGCAGTTTTTTATGGGATGCAGGTGGCACAGTGGATTAAACCGCTGTGCTGCTGGGCTGGTTGATCAAAAGGTCGCTGGTTTGAATCTGCACAATGGGGTGAGTTCCTGTTGTTCCGTCCCAGCTCCTGCCAACCTGGCAGTTCGAAAGCATGCAAACGCAAGTAGATAAAAAGGTGCCATTTTGGTGAGAAGGTAACAGTGTTCTGTGCACTTTAGTGTTTAGTCATGCCGGCCCCATGACCACACAGACTGTGTGCAGACAAACGCTGGCTCCCTCAGCTAGGAAACGGAGATGAGCACCGCCCCCTAGAGGCAGGCGTGACTGGAATGTAATGTCAAGGGGAAACCTTTACCTTTATACACATCTACACAGACTCCAGAGTGATGGACAATTAAACAGCAAACATATAAAAAGAATGGAACACAGCATTAAAACAGAAGACTTTCTCCAATAAAGATGTTTTTCCAGAAGTGCCAGAAGCAACACAACATTGGCACCTGCCTGGCTTCCATAGCTATCTGCCACATTTCTGCATCAGAATGCTTTTTTAAAAGTCTGCAGAATAATATGTACTGATTCTCATGGTCATTCTCCTAACATGAGGTATCTCCAAGTAAAGTGGAAAGAAAAAAAGCTGAGTATCATCCATCCACCATAAACTTCTCCAATGCTGGAATGCCACTGAATTGCATTATGGTTGTCACTGACTTGACTGACAGAACAAGAGAAAGCATATATGCAGAGGAAGAATCAGTGAGTGAAAATGGAGGGATATGCTCCCTTGCTTGGGAAGAGTGTACCTTCTACTAGATGGAGAAAAAAGGCCAACCTTCACCTATTTTTTAAAATATTTTCCAAACTATGTTGGACAATAATAACAGATTTTCTGTAGTTACTGGAAACTCCATTTTAACTCTCTCACTGGTTCTTCTGGCACCAGCTTAGACAACTACCAGAGGTTCAGTGAGGAAATGTTAACATCCTAATTCCAGGACCTGTAGCAGTCTTCATAAAATTAAAATGTACATCTTGCTTAAGCACCAAGGTTATTTTGAATGACATGTCGGTTGCTGCAAATTGGTTGTTCAGTTTCAGAGTCTTTTCATGCAGACATCACTGGCCTGAGACAGACAATAAACTGATCAAGTCCATGCGATAAAGATATTGAAACTTCTTTTTCCCAAGTCAGAGAGCTGGAAGCCAGGTGGACACCTTATAGTGAGCAGCTCTTCTGCACAGTTTTGGAAATCAAGGTGGAATAATTTGCCAGATCAGTGGGATTTAGCACATTTAAGTCCACATTGGTTGAAGTGATTCCAATACATTTCCAGTACTGCGTTAGTCATGAGTTCTGGGCCTAAACATAAATTTGCAGATGGTATTTGAGTGCTAAAGGAAACTTATCTGCATGTAAATAGTAACTGTTGGAGGTGAAAACTGATTAACACTAGGTTTGTGTGTGTGTGTGGCCAGCTCCCAGTAAAGTGATATTGAAAACTTAATTCTGGAAGAGCTTAAGAATATAATAGGACACAACTTGCCACCAGAGATACTGATGACCTTATTTTGTTATATAAAGGAGATAGCACATAAAGAAGATGGTGAATTAATAGTTGATTTATTAACAGCAGCTTGTATAGCCATCCCCTATAACTGGAAGAAATATAACCCTCTGTTAATTGAAGTGTGGATTAATAGAATATGGGACTTGGCTTATATGGGTAAAGTGACACATTTGGTAAGGTTCAGGAAGGGAAAGCCAGGAGATTGCACGTATATAAAATGTGAAGTTCCTTGAATTCTAGAATGACAGAGTGGAAAATTCAGTAAATGCATGCAAGGGAATAAAACAGGCACATGGGAGAGGATACTGATCTTAGCTGATTAATTTTTAGGATATTTTTGTAGATACTTTTATACTTGCATGCTTGTATTTTATAAATGAACTATCACTTTCTTTGTATTTATTTATAATTGATACTAAAAATGCTACTGATATTTTTAAAACAAGAAACATGGTTTGATGTATTGTTTCGAGAATTAAAAGGATAGTTGTTCTCGGCACACGTTCCAAGGTCAGGCAGATTTGGACTCTTCGTGATGAGCAGGAGGGGCCCTGGGAACCAGCACCCCAGATGTTGAAATGGAGGAAGCAGAAGGGCTTATCTCAAGGCCACCCTTTCCAGGTGTTCAGATGGACTCTGAGGAGAGCCAGGATCTGCAGCTTCTGGAGGGGATGTGGTGCAGGGGGGGCAGGTATGTCTCTTGATCCCATGATGTGGTGTCAGGAGAGAGGGACTGCCATACAAAGAAGAGGCTTGCCAGAGAGAGGGAGCCTGGGAATACTCAGAAGGAGGGTTCTTGGAAGTAGTTGCTCCATTGGGTTCAATGAACTGCTCCGTGCAATCTCAAAGACTCATTCAATGGTGCTTGTTCTTGCTGGATATACCTTGGAGAATAAAGAGCTTTTTACAAAGGAACAGGCTGTTTCCCTGTATGTGCAAAGAGGGAAACCTGACAAATCATAAAAGATTGTCTCAAAGGAAAGGCATCCTTTGCAACCCACAAAATTCCTTTCCAGCTTCACTTAAAAATTATATTTATTAAACTTACAATCTGGTCTTTATCCACAAGGGATTCCAGGGCTGTGCATATAGCAAAGAACAAACAAAGTATCATACCAATGATAAAATCAGAAGATAAGAAGCATAAAAAAAACAATTCTATTGGCAAACCATCAACATGCAAATTAGTAAATCTAAACATTTCTTTAATGTCTGGACAAAAAGAAATCATTTGATTTGGCAGTGAAAAGAAAGCAGGATCCATACCAATTATATTTTCCTTAGAAGGACATTCCAATTGTCTTTGTACATAGTAGTCTTGCCACCACCAATTCCCCAAACACCTTTCAGTTCTGTCTTATTTGATGACCCCTCCATTTACACCACTGGAACTTAACCATGTAATTTCATCCAAGTGTGAAGGAAGTATCCCTCCCCCCCATTTTGGGGCTATTTCACTAATCTAGTTGCCACTGTGTGTACCTACGGGCAATGGAGAATGGCCTCCAATCCTGTTTCTCCGCTATGTTCACCATGGGTAATGCATGTGGGGTTTCCCAGCTTAAATTCATTCCATGCATGCATTTATATAGGTATGCATGCATGTAAAAATGTAGAAGTACATTAAAATAAAATAAGGGTAGCCACCACCTATTCACTAATCATTTAGTTGGCTGATTTTTATTTCTATCCTGCATTCCCACTAGAAAAATGGCTCTTGAGTTGGCTAACAAGAAAATCCAGATGAGTGAAAATAAAATAAATTAAAATGTAGCATAAAAACAGATGAATGAATAGCAGTTAAAGTACGACAACAGAAGAAATAAACCATGCCAGCCAATTAAAAAAGACCTTCAGCATTAGACTAGTTGATATGCTGTATAAGCCCACATGAATTAAGATCTCCTTGCAAGCCGGCAGAAAAGGAGCAGCGCTGGTGACCAGCTGAGTCTATTTCTGCAGAAGACAGAATGTGGCCTCTTTTTTCCAGAGGGCGGAGCCATCCCCAAACACAGGGGCAGTGCTTCTGATGGAAGCAAGAACAGGATCCCTCATCCAAAGATATTAAAATTCAGACAGGCTCATATAGGAGAGTACAGTCTTTGGGAGAGCCTTTTCCGTGGCCAGATGGGACCATCACCAGCACTTGGAATTCTGCTGGTAAGGAAACAGAATCCTTCACTGTATCTAAGGGCAGTAAGGTTAGCTTCCAAAGGCACAGGAGGGACTCCATGGCACACACAGATTTGGCCTCCAGGACCTCCCCATGGCTTCCCACCTCCACCCACTCCTGGCCACTGCCCCGTGGCAGACACCTAATTCTGCTTTGGGCAGGAGGATGCATCTTGGAGGTGCTCAGGGACTGGAGCTTTGTTGCTGAACCTCTCCAAGGATCACTTCAGGATCTGAAAGACCCAATCAGCTCCTAAACACTCGTTTCAACCACCATTTCTGCTGCCTGAAACAAAATACAGTACAGTTTTCCTGTTGGGTACCCCTGTAGCTTATGGTGAATAAATATTGACAAAGTAGTCTAAAGAGCAAACACTTTGACATTTGTAATGTCCACTGGAAGATCTTGTATATATTTATCCTGGAAGCATAACAGCAGCATACCAATGTTTCTGAGCTTGCAGCTGACACAGTTCTGCTTTGCCCCTGGATGTTAAGAAGCCTTTGGAGTAATCATTGCCAATTGGTAGCATGAGCAAAAGAGACATAGCACCTCCCACATTAACTGACTTATTCACATCACTCCCGGCAGAAAGTCTGAAAATTAAATAAATACTATGACTTCCAGCTTTCCTGAAACTATCCAGTTCTGCTTTAAAACTCCACCTCCTTAACTCCAGATATGTTACTGGATACTGACAGATGGGCACTGGACACATGTCAAGTGAACTTTCTTCCTTTATTGTAAGAGAGGTGTTTTTCCCTTTCCGTGGATCCCCTCTGCTGTGCATTTTACTTAGCCTTAATCTTAGAGGAATAACTAAGATTAGAACCAGACCTGAAGAGCATACAGCGTGCTGTAGATTTCAGTTCTTTCCTGCTTCCTCCTGCATGTTTTCATAAAACACCCGAGTTGGATTAATTGTTTTGGGGTTCTGTCTGTGCGCAAGGAATGGATGTGTGTGCCAGGGCTGCACTTCACCACACTAATGTGTCTGTTATGGAGAGGAGCAGTGAGGATAAATATGCATGATTCAGGAGAGTGGCAGGCGAGGGCGGAGTGGGGAGATAGGTGGAGGTCCCTTCCCCTAATGCTGTTAGCTACCTACCCCAGCAGCTCAGGGCTGCTCCTGGAGACATGATGGAAGAAGGAGGCTCTGATGTCTCTTGCCAGGGCAAACTGTGACTCTGCATTAATTGTGTGCATGTGACCTGTTGTTTGCAAGACGTTGCTGTGAGGTGCAGCTTCAGACCCATTCATTGATAAAAAAAGTCCGCACAAAAAAAGGCACCATGCAGTCCAACTCAAGACAGTACCAGGATTGCTCTGCTCTCCACCTTTTATCCATGTGCACATGTGCATGGCGGGGGGGGGTGAGAAACCACCTTCTGCTGGCACATCTAGTTGCTGCTGGGCCATCTAGCAGTGTCATTGGCCCCGACTGGCAGTTGTGTTCCAGGATTGCAGGCTGCAGTCCTTCCAGCCCTACCTGGAGATGCCAGGGATTGAATCGGAGATTGCTTGCATGCGAAGCAGCTGCTCCACCACTGAGCTCCAGCCCGTTCCCACCAGTGTCATGTAGAGGGAAGGAGAAATGAAATGTGTGTATCTCACGTACTAGGGCACATGGTACTAATTTCTGGGGTAGAGGGGACAGGGTGTGATGTGCAGTGTGAAATACCTGATGTGTTGGTTCTGCTCTATAAACAAAAGCCAGGTATTTCAGAATCCCGGGAAATTAACAGAGCACTTTAAAGACAATGGGGGAAGAATCCACGGTTGAGGAATCTGAGCTCACATTAGCAGGGCAGAAGGGACGTGCAGGTAGGAAGCTATAGCGAAAACACCGAGGGCCAGACTGGGATGCAGCACCTGATTTTGGGGCATGTCTTGGCTTTGGTTCCAGTGGACCCTGCTCCCAGCACCCAACTGGATTGGATCATTTTTGTGGTCTCCACCGTTGGAATGTGTGAATTGTGAGGGCAGTTGTCAGTCCTGCGGTGCAGAGAAGGAAATCCACACCATCCTGTGACTCCAGGGACACCTTCCAAGGGACTGTAGGGTTGTTCCAAAGACGTGGGAGCTTCCAGAAGCGTCCCTGCTTGTAACCTTCAAATTCCTTTTGGGGCTAAGCCAACGCTCAGTGCCATACCCACTTTTCTAAGCAGCCCCAATATGCAAATATAAGCTTTTAATTTTCTTATAATTGAGGAGGTACTTTCTGTTGTTGCTTTGTGGGATTTTTTAATTGATGTTTTTATGTTTTATTAAAGATTGGTTCTCAAAAATGTAATGAGTAAAAAAAATATTCTGGCTTAATTTAAATTGTGAATCTGTCTGTTAAGAAACACATTAGGGGTAGGAGAAGCATAAGACGTATTAATTGACAGACAGGAACTGCTGTCTCTGAGGTTGATACAAGTAATTTATTACTTTAGAAATGAATGCCACCTCCAGAATGTGCTTCATTAATTTCAAATTTAGTTTTAATTTCAAGCTGTTGCCCCTTGAGAAGAATAAGGTGGCAAATTATGTTTGAAGAGCAGATTTTCCCCCTTCTTCCTCTTGCTTGGAAGAAATGCTAAATTTTAACTGTTTAAGTTTAATAAATAAATGCATCTTTCTTTGACTGAAAGATGCCACATGCTGAAATAGAGTGAGACCAAGCACTGCTAACCCTTCATTTCTTTTTCTGTTTCCTTTTTCGGCCACGCTAGCTTATGTTTCCGATGAACTGAAGGCAGCTGCGATGGTCGAGGATGACCTAGAACCTGATGAGAATGCCATTGATGGAGAACCGTCTGCAAAATATGCCTGCCCAGAAAAGGACTTCAGTAAGAATTGCCAGAGTTATCAAAACTCTCCAGCTGCTGAATTCTCCAGCCACGAAATGGACAGTGAGTCTCACATCAGCGAGACCAGTGACCGGATGGCTGACTTTGAGAGTGGCTCCATTAAAAATGAGGAGGAGAGCAAGGAGGTTTCGATTCCGCTGGAAGAGTCGGTGGTGTCGGACAGCTTGGAACAAATGAAGGCCGTCTATAACAACTTCCTCTCCAACTCCTACTGGTCCAACCTCAACTTGAACCTCCACCAGCCGGCTTCCGAGAAGAACAAAGGCAGCAGCAGCAGCAGCAGCAGTAGCAGCAGCAGCTGCGGGAGCGGGAGCTTTGACTGGCATCAGACGGCCATGGCGAAAACCCTGCAGCAAGTTTCTCAGAACAGAATCCTTCCCGAGCCCAGCCTGTTTAGCACAGTTCAGTTGTACAGACAAAGCAGTAAGCTTTATGGCTCTATATTTACAGGAGCCAGTAAATTCCGTTGTAAAGATTGCAGTGCTGCTTACGATACTTTAGTAGAATTAACAGTGCACATGAATGAAACAGGACATTATCGGGATGACAACCATGAAACGGATAACAATAACCCTAAAAGATGGTCCAAGCCTCGTAAACGCTCGTTGCTTGAAATGGAAGGGAAGGAGGATGCCCAGAAAGTATTAAAGTGTATGTACTGTGGCCATTCCTTTGAATCACTTCAAGACTTGAGTGTCCACATGATCAAAACAAAACATTACCAAAAAGTGCCTCTGAAGGAACCCGTAACCCCTGTAGCAGCAAAAATTATCCCAGCCACCAGGAAGAAAACGTCCTTGGAGCTAGAACTTCCAAGTTCTCCAGATTCTACTGGTGGGACACCGAAAGCAACTATCTCTGACGCCAACGATGCACTTCAAAAGAATGCCAACCCTTATATCACACCAAATAATCGCTATGGACACCAGAATGGTGCCAGCTATGCCTGGCATTTTGAAGCACGAAAATCTCAAATTCTCAAATGCATGGAATGTGGGAGTTCCCATGATACGTTGCAGGAACTCACTGCCCACATGATGGTGACGGGACATTTCATTAAAGTCACCAACTCGGCCATGAAAAAAGGGAAACCTATTATAGAAGCACCCGTCACCCCAACCATCACAGCTTTGCTTGATGAAAAGGTGCAGTCCGTGCCCCTTGCAGCTACAACATTCACATCTCCTTCCAACACGCCATCTAGTATCTCTCCAAAATTAACCATGGAAGTAAAGAAAGAAGTTGATAAGGACAGAATCATTGCTGACGACAAGGCAAAGGACAAGGAAAAATCGAGCGAGGATGAGGAAAAGTATGATATTTCCTCCAAATATCATTATTTGACTGAAAACGACTTGGAGGAAAGTCCAAAAGGGGGACTAGATATTTTAAAGTCTCTAGAAAATACAGTCACATCGGCTATTAACAAAGCCCAGAATGGCACTCCAAGTTGGGGTGGCTATCCAAGCATTCACGCTGCTTACCAGCTGCCCAATATGATGAAACTGTCCCTAGGGTCATCGGGAAAGAGCACCCCCTTAAAACCTATGTTTGGAAATGCTGAAATCGTGTCACCAACCAAAAGCCAGCCACTAGTGTCCCCACCCAGCAGCCAAACGTCACCCATACCAAAAACAAACTTCCATGCCATGGAAGAGTTGGTGAAGAAAGTCACTGAAAAAGTGGCCAAAGTTGAAGAAAAGCTGAAGGAACCTGAAGGGGGGAAGCTTTCTCCAATGAAGAGAGCCACACCTTCTCCGTGTAGCAGTGAAGTCAGCGAGCCCCTCAAGATGGACACTTCCAATGACATTGGGTTCAAAAGCCAACAGAATAGCCCAGTTTCTCAGAGGGAGAGCTGCAAAGACAGCCCAACAGGAGAGCAGATGGAAAATGGCAAGGAGCTTGTCAAGGCAATCACAAGCACCTTGAGTAGCAGCACCGCTATTATCACTGACCACCCTCCAGAACAACCCTTTGTAAACCCATTAAGTGCATTACAGTCTGTCATGAATATTCATCTTGGGAAGGCAGCAAAGCCCTCCCTCCCTGCCCTGGACCCAATGAGCATGCTTTTTAAAATGAGCAACAGCTTAGCAGAAAAGGCTGCGGTGGCTACTCCACCTTTGCAGTCCAAAAAGCCAGACCACTTAGACCGTTATTTTTATCATGTCAACAATGACCAGCCCATAGATTTGACGAAAGGCAAGAGTGACAAAAGCTGCTCTTTGGGTTCAGCGCTTTTGTCATCCACATCGGCATCTTCGGCGTCTTCTTCATCTACAGTGACAACAGCAAAGACATCTGCGGTTGTGTCATTCATGTCAAACTCGCCGCTACGCGAGAATGCCTTGTCAGATATCTCTGATATGCTGAAAAACCTGACAGAAAGTCACACATCAAAATCTTCCACACCTTCCAGCATCTCTGAGAAATCTGACATTGACGGTACTACGATCGAGGAACCGGAAGAGACAACCCCAGCTCAGAAAAGGAAAGGACGCCAGTCCAACTGGAACCCTCAGCACTTGCTCATTCTGCAGGCCCAGTTTGCAGCCAGTTTACGGCAGACGTCCGAGGGGAAATACATTATGTCAGACTTGAGCCCTCAGGAGCGAATGCACATTTCTAGGTTCACGGGGCTGTCTATGACCACCATTAGCCACTGGTTGGCCAATGTGAAATACCAGCTTCGAAGGACAGGGGGGACAAAGTTCCTTAAAAATCTGGACACTGGGCACCCCGTGTTTTTTTGTAATGACTGTGCTTCACAAATCAGAACTCCATCGACGTACATCAGTCACCTTGAATCACATCTAGGTTTCAGACTACGAGACTTGTCCAAACTCTCCAGTGAACAGATTAACAATCAGATAGCACAAACCAAGTCACCCTCTGAAAAACTGTTGGCACCTTCTCCAGAGGAAGAAATAGGAACCTCCTACCAGTGTAAACTTTGCAACAGGACTTTTGCAAGCAAGCATGCTGTGAAACTCCATCTCAGTAAAACACACGGGAAGTCTCCTGAGGACCATCTTCTGTATGTTTGCGAATTAGAAAAGCAGTAGCCTTTATTTTTTGACACACAAATTGCAACAACTGTACTTGGCTTTGAGGAAAACTGTCAAAAATGCCTTAAAGCTTCCCTTTTTCTGTTCTTGGCACATAATTCTTATTTTAACTCTTGGGTGTCACTCTGGCCTGAACTACTTCTCTCTCCTCTTTCCTCCCCTGTTTCTTTTTGGGTTTGTCAGTTTGTTTTTTTTGTATAACTGTACAGTGTTTAATAGAGGTGCATAATCAGCTGTTGTTACTGGTAAAAAATGAAGGTTAAAACGCAGTGGTAAGTGTTTGGAACTTTGTGTAAATTGGGGTTTTAGGTGCTGTGCATCCCTCCGATGCCTCCAGCTGCATGCATTGATGAGACAGTTTAATTAAGCATTTATTAAGTCATTCTGGTGCACTTTTTTCACGGCGACTTAAGTGTGCTGGGAGTTCTCACCCCTGTAAATCTTTAGCCCTCTGAGTACTTTGAAGCACTTTTGCATTAATTTGGTTTTCCTTTTTTAAAGATATAAGTATGGATAACTTTGTGTTTAAAAAAAATCCCCTTCCACCTTAGGACACATCCAGGCATCTCTTAAGAAGGGGTTTTCACAAGAAGGGCCACCAGGCCGCCCACCAAAAGGCCGGGCTTTGTGCAATGCTTGATGGGAAATCTTCATGGACAAGTTTTCCCCTTGCAAGGTTTCCATCAGCTGTTGCAAAAGCTTGTCCCCAGTCCCACGTGGAAGCCCTTGGAAGAGCTGGCTCCTGGCCCTTCTCGTGCCATCCGAGGCACTCATATTTCAGGGACCGAACCTCGTTTCAGCGCTTCCAGTACTCATAGCCCCACGTGCAGGATGCTTCAGCCATGCCAACCCTTTCTCCACTGAGTTCCTGTGGCTGGGTTGGGCCAGGAGGCCTCGCAGGTGGGGTTCCAGTGATGCATGCATGGATGGCCCACAGGGAATGCCCCCTCTCCTCCCAAGGATGCGTCGAGCGCTCCTGGCTCTGCACCGCCTGCCCAACAAGGACCGTAGGTGGCTTCCACCTGGATATGCCCTTTGTTGGAGTCACGTGATGAACCTCCCTGTATGCAGGAGTGGCACCCATCTTGAAATTTTAGAATATATTATGTTCCCATTGAAACATGGATGTATATATTGTATAGATTTCAAATCCTCGGATGGAAAAAGTGATTGTGGACAATGCCATTTCTTCTTCTTCAACATTTTTATCACTGATGGCGTTTGTACCTAATATGCTCTCTCAAGTATTAAGGTACCTATAAATATATAAATATATATATAAATATATAAAATAATAATGTATATTTCTTTTCTAGGTCAAAGGGTTTCCTTTTAACATCTGAACAATGTAAATTATATGAAAGATACAACAGATAGCATTTATAAAGTATTCAGAAACATTATTCTTGAAGCAAAGTATGGTTGGTTTTGTTTTGTTATACAGTACCGCTATATTGATAGAGGTTCATGTTTAAATTATGCATATTTATTAGTTGTTTGCTACCTTCTTTTTTTAAGAGAAAAAAAGCATTCTGATAACAGAAGCCATGGACTGGCGTGCATTATATCTATTTTGCACAACACAAATTTTAAAGGTATTTATTAATAACCTTAATTTAAAAACAAATCAAAGGAGAAAATTCAAAATCAACTCAGTGCTCAAAGGGTTAAATCTATTTGGGGGCGGGAGAATTGAATAATGGAAAAAGAAACCTTGTACTGTATTTCCTAAACATTGATAAAAAAAGCCTTTAAAATGTTTGTACTGTAATACTTTGCTTAAAAGTTATGAGGCATTCTGTGATATAAGCTATCCTACTTATTTATAAGCGCTCTTGGTTGTTACTTCATATCGTAGGATGCCTTCTCCCCGCCTCTCTCTCCCTCTCTCTCCCTCTCCTTTTTCCTTTCTGTTGGTAACTTTCTGTTTTGTTCTTCCTAATTATTCTCCCAAGATTTCATACTGCAGTTTTATCTTTAAGCATATGAAAGGTAACCCGTGGTTACCAGCACACTAAGTGATTCTGTTCGTCTCCATTTTTGGCAGTTAATTTGCAGAAGTAACTGACAGCTGACACCATATGAGAATCTATGTGTACAATATTGGCATGTAAACAGCACAGAACCACAAACTCTGCGCCCCTGTTCTGTTGTTGACAATGTGGCACCATTATATGACTCTTCATATAACCTTTTTTTTTCTACAGCCGCATTAAAATTGTCTTTTTTGCTATAATTTTGTGTTGCGTTCACAATTATATCTGAAATGTGCTACGACTAACGAGCGCATTAAAATTAAATTGTATGCTCGCTGTTTATGACTGAAGCTTGAGTAGGCTTCCTCATCTGCCAGGTGTTGGCAGTCAAAATCTATACATAAATCACGGGAGTTTTAGTGAACTTTAGCATTTAAAGAGCAGGGGAGCACATATTCAAAGGCTGTATTAAAAAAAGAAAAGGGAAAAATTCCTAGAAAAATGCAGGAGGAAATGGCGGTTCTATTTCCCCTTTAAACCTCCAGGAAGATTGACTTTGAAGAAGCGAGTTTATAAGGGATGTTTGTGGCAAAGCAAATAGATCATTTGCTGAGCTGTATTTTCAAACCCAATCGGATTCTGATACATATCGTCTCTTCACTGTTTTATTAGTGTTCTGAGGTGTGGGTTGCACTGAGAAGGTTCCTTTGTGGATTTGAGAATGCTTACCATTTCCTTTCGGTTGACAAGAAGAAAAATCCCAAGACTTATTGCAACTTTATGATTTCAGAATCCTTCCACTTTTGCACAAAATTGATTGCAAAGAAAAATTAGAAGATGGAGGAGCATATAGGCGAACAAACAGAGGCACTGATACACTAATGACAAACTTTTAGCAGCACTGGCAAATCAGCGTAAAACCACAGAAGCTGCCCTTTTAATCTTTGTTACCATATGCAAACCATAGCTTTCCTATGGAAAGACATCTCAGACTAGGAAGTCAGCTACCCAAAGCAAACCTGTTATGTCAATATGCAGCAACATTATATTTTCTTTTTATATTACAAGGGAATCCTGCAAATCGGGCATATCTGGTTACATGAAAGGAGAAACAGCAAGTGGAACAAAATGGCTGCCATGCCCAATTCCAACAGTTGCGCTAGAATTTTTACAGAAGCCTCCAATTATCATGATCTACTCATAGCTGATAGGAAACCAAGTTTTTATTGTAAACTTCACTTCCCTGCAGACTCATCTATACCTGCCTTTGTGTCAGAACTGGACCATAGTAATACAGAGTGATTACCTTCTAGGTTTCTCAGAGACCTGGCTTTAAAACCTATAGGATTGAAGGACTCAGCCTGCCCAGTCTAGAAATGTCACAATTAGTAATCTACCTGAAACCCATCTTAGTGTGCAACGGCCTGGTGGCCAAGGTGAATCCATGATCTTGGGCAAGATCAAAGCAATACACCATCACTGGGGGAGGAGCCTACTGCCAGGCGGTGCTCCGTCAAACTCCATGGAACCCAGATGCCTTCACACAGCTACTTTTCTCTCATGATTCTTCACATCAGGCTTACAAAAGTCACCGCAATCTTTTGCTATATAACCATGTGTTGAAAAATTCTGGCTTCCTGTTCACATCAGTAGATGATAACTGATTGTTTCCTCCAGACCAACTTCCATAACACTGGTGCATGGAAAAGAAATAACGTTAGCTGATAAAATGTGTGAACTCTGTCAGGCAAAAATATCCACTGGAGATCCATATCAGGCAAGTAGTTTGATATGCAAGGATGCTTCTGTTCAGTATTTCTTATATCCAGAGAATTTCAGCAGATTCCTAGACCAGGGGAAAGTCCAGAATAAAAAGATGAGAAAACTTGAATCCAAAGAGGTCCCTACAGGGCCCTTTTATCATTCCCATCCATTCCAGTGAGGCTTGCAAAGAACTGTCCAGTGGATCGAGTATAAATTCTGGATATCTATAAATTTCACAGCATTAGGCTCCAGATGTTGTTGGACTCCAGGTCCCACCAGCTGTAGCCACTATGGCCAGAGGTCAGGTATGATGGGAACTGTAACCCGGCATATTTGGAAGGCTCTAAATCCAAGAAGTTTACTGCTTAAACATTTATCTTCTAATGTGTAACGAAGTTCAAATCTTGAACTATATGCTGTCAGATCCAAAGAATTCTGTTCCATAGCTACATTTTTTTGTATATTCAAAAACTTTGAAGATCTGCATAAGGACTACATGGGCTAACAATGAGATGTTATTTGGGGGTGAAATCTGAACAGATTTTTAACAGTCCTGTCATGGTGGATTTTGTTTCATTTCCCCTTGCTGGCATCTAGTTGAGCTGTAGCAAGTCAATCTAATACATAGATTTTGGATTTTTTAAAATGATGATGGACATTTGTATAAATGGATTACATTTGTCATCATCATTATTCAGGTCTTTTAGTGCAATAAAGCCCCACAGTCCTCTTTGTGCAAATCTAAGACCAAAATCATCATCACAACCCTATTTGCATAAATCTAGATCTGAACAAATTGCAAGTGTTGCCTGAATTGGGGGATGCAGCTATTTTCCACTGTAGCTTATTCTTGTATGAGAATAGAAACACTACAATATCCAGTCAGGCCTAAATGGAGCAGACTTCCTAGCCTACTTGGGGCCTTGAGTTTGCCATTGCAGATGCAAATATCCTTGCTTTGATGGCACAGAGGTCGGCTTGCACAAGTGTACCTACAGTGGCATCGTGTTCCCATCAGCTATGATCAGTTCCACCAGTGTATTTGGTTCCATTTCGAGCTTGCCTTTGGATTTCCTGATGTAGTTGAGTTCACGTTGGCTGAGGAGTATTTAGCTTGACAGCAGGCATTCCATACCCAAGACCTTTCCTCTGACTTATCTTGTTCCAACTTGGCACAATTCCAACACAATCCCAATGCTGCTGTTGCAGCATCTTAAACCCGAATGGCGTCAAGCTGTTGTACCAGGCAGTTCACAATGAGTCACTAGAGTCACACAAGAACTTGCAAGGTTCTCTTTCTACTGCAATGCTTTTTCTCCCACTTAGACCCTTCACTGAGGTGAGACTTTATAGATCTGAGCCAATCCTTTTTGCATTTATGAAAGCATAGATCCAGTTCCATAGGTTTGCTTTCAGTGGCCATGCTATTTGGATGCTGCGTCATTGGATGTTTGGTCATAAAGAATGCATACAGTTCACCCAATATTTGTGCTTCACATGTCCTTGTCACTCAGGTGGATATGTAGGATGAGTGCACGTACATATCCCCCATTGGACCCAGGCAAGTCAAAGGTAACTGGGCTATCTGTAGCCACAACTCAATTGTGAAACACGCATCTAGCAAGCTGGAGGGCTTAGGATCACTACCTGGTAACTCCAGCAAAAAGGGTTGAGTATAAACGGGGCTGGGAAAGACCTCTGCATAAAGTCTCAGCCAGTCAAATTAAAGTGGGTAGACAGATGATTTTCAGGCATAAATGTAAACTTTTCCCTATCAAACAACATAATGGTCAACTCTACTGAATTCAGACAACCAGTATGCCGTTTTATTGACACCAGTCAGTATGTCAACAGCAATGCCTATTTCACACAATCACATTGCCAGCGAGTGATTACCTGAGAACCAAACGTGACAATAAATCCGGTGGAGATTAGGATGGGCTAATTTGCCAGTTAGCATTCTTCACATCAGGGCTCTCAAACTCGTGGCCCGTGGGCCAATTGCTGGGATGGGTGGGGCACAGGGGAGGGGCCCTGCGGCCTTCAAAGTGCCGGCGGCGTCCAGGCCGGCTGTGGGATGAGCAGCCCACCACCGCCGCAGTGGTGGAATGCTTGATGCTGCCCAGCCTCACCCAGACTCTACTTCCAGCGGGCCCCAGGTAAGTTGAATCTGAGACCCCTGCTTCACATTCATTAAAAATAAAGATCTCAGGTTCTTTCTCTCTCAAAGATGAAGAATGTTCTTCATCCTGAAATGAAACACTCATCTGCAAAAGCAAAATTTGAAATTTACATGATTCCTGCCATGGTGAAAGCCATGATGAAGAGCCTATCAGAAAAAAGGCTGGCCTAATTGACTACCAAGATAGTTAAAGACACAAGGATCAAACCCAGGCCTTCAAACCCAGGCCAAACTCTCAACACCCAGTGCCTGGAGAAACCAGTCTCTCATTTTCAGTTTTTCACACCATTCAGTCATTCTTCTGGAAATCTCAAATCTCTTTGGAAAAAGTGAGAATTTTGGTAAATTATTATCAAAACCAAACTAAATGCCTTATTCCACCCCAGTAGAGAGAGATATGTGAGGTGTTTAACACTCTCCAAGTTGCTTGTTTTCCTTTACAGATAAATTTTTCATTTGCTTTTTGTAAACACACCAGCTCCAGAAAAAGCAAAAGCAGAACAACAACTTAGAAGCCATCCATCTGGTTTTACGGCTTGCTAGGCACCTTTCAGTCTATCATCTGTTCGCTAAGGGAATTTGATTTTTTTCAATTCCCCAAAGTTGTGTTTGTGTACAATTGTGAAAATTTGCACTTCCAAACTGGCATAATTCTAAAATGGGCAACCATCCCCAAGATGCATATTTTTACATTTCAGCTATTGGTGCAAATGCACATTTTGGGTGGTTTTTGGTTTTACTTATTGTTCATATTTTTCTGTGACTACATTTGATTAAGATTTAGGAAAGTTAAAAAAAAGTACACAAGTTCCTGCAACTCAGGAAAAGCCGGTCCATGGCACAATCTATGGGTCAGATTTATAGAACTGTGAACTCGTTGTATCTAGTGTGGATTTTTCCAGGATCCCTAATGCTGGAAAAAAGAAGGTGGGCTGAGGGAGACAAGCTTTAAATCAGAAGTGGATAAAGGTGACCCTGTTCTAACCCCACCCAAGTCATGGCTTGTTTCTGTATACTGTACATCTTCCAGCCATCAAATTTACGCAGTATCTTAAAATAACATTTGTGATAAATGTGCAATTTAACTAATTTATGGGGCTCTGATGTGCTCAGGGCTACATGCAAGATGAAAATCTTAAATGGAGCTTGAACAGCTCACTTCACAACAAGAAATCAATATGCCAGCTCCGAGAAAAGAAGCTGGATGAAGCCAGCATTTAGTGTATGCGCGCACACAAAAATTAAAACCAGGGAATGTATCTTTCAAGTTTTTGCTAGC